ACAGTGAGACCTTTTATTTAAACATCAAAAATAAAAATATTGTAAGTAAAAGCTAACCCTTGTCCCTTTTTGGTGCTAGAATCAAACCTTGTACATGTCAAGTTCCCACTCTACCACTAAGCTACACTCGGAGCCCCTGACTCAAATTTTCTTATCAGCTAATATTCTAGTAGTACCCACCTAGTCAGAATCCTCACTGTTCCAAATTTGCATGTGTATTTTTCTTATCTAGATAAATTCTCCCTTCCAATCTTTTACTTATTCAAAATCTAGTACAAGCTTTAATACCTTGATTTCCGATCCTACAATTACTCTCCCATTCCTCAGCCACACATGCTATTCCTTTATTTTCATGTTGATCCTGATTATAAGGTCTACACCAAAACAGAAAAAAAGCCCCTTGGCTGCTAGAAGAGTTTCCATCAGTTTAAGATTATTCAGACTTATTTCTTTATCTGATATGACAGGTAGGCAACTATCACATCCAGCATTTCTGTTGAAATGGGGATCTCAGACACTTTTTTGCCCAGCCTAGAACAATGATCCTCCCAATCTCTGCGTTCCCAATAGTCTCAACTACAGCTGAGCCAATGATGCTTAGCAAAAACTCCACTTTTACTTTTAAAGGAGTGTCAAAGATTTGTAGACATATCAAACACCACTTAAAGCAGGGCGTCGGTGGCTCAAGCCTGTAATCCTAGCTACTAAAGAAGGCTGAGATCTGAGGATCGTGGTTCAAAGCCAGCCCAGACAGGAAAGTCCATGAGACTCTTATCTCCAATAAACTAATAGAAAACTGGAAGAAGCACTATGGCTCAAGCAGCAAAGCACTCCCCTTGAGCTGAAGAGCGCAGGGACAGCACCCAGGCCCAGAGTTCAAGCCCCACGACCAACCAAAAAATTAATAAATAAATAAACACCATATAACTTATAGGTTTCAAAAATGGTAAGTAAACAGATGCAACAATATAGCCAACTTATCTCAATTTATTAAGAAAGAATCTGTGCCTAACCATGTCCATAATACACATTTTATTCTATTTGAACAGGAAGGTTTCACTATTACTTACCAAGATTCTCCAAAGAGGTAAGGTATATATAGCTCATTCATTCTTGCCTCACATGAGATTGCCTCACATCCACAAAGCAATATCCTTATTTGAACAGGAAGGTTTCACTATTATTTACCAAGATTCTCCAAAGAGGTAAGGTATATATAGCTCATTCATTCTTGCCTCACATGAGATTGCCTCACATCCACAAAGCAATATCCTGAGTTCAAACCCAAACCCCTATACCACAAAAAAGAAAAAGATTCTTCAAAAAAAAAAAAAAGCTGAAAAGAAAAACAAAAAGCACTTCAGCTTCTTAGCTGACACTATGATAACAGGAAATATATTTTTTGTTTTGTTTCTGTCCCAGAGAAAAAGCAAGTTATAGTGATAATCATAAATAACTGCAAAGTTGAACTGAGACAAATCTTTATGATTCAGAACCACATGAAGAAAAATAACAAGAAAACAGATATGCATCCTAAATTGTTGTTATTTTTTCAGAAGAAGGAGGTATATGTTGCACTATGACTGCTATAGATTTGTACCAGAGAAACTTTATAAACAGAAATATAAAGTGAAATAAGAAGTTAACTTCAGCCAGGCGCCAGTGGCTCACACCTGTAATCCTAGCTACTCAGGAGGCTGAGATCTGAGAATCACAGTTCAAAGCCATCCCGGGCAAGAATGCCGATGAGACCCTTATCTCCAATTAACCACCAGAAAACCAGAAATGGCACTGTGACTCAAGTGGTAGAGTGCTAGCCTTGAGCTGAAGAGCTCAGGGACAGCACCCAGGCTCAGAGTTCAAGCCCCACAACCAATCAAAAAAAAAAGTTAACTTCAATAGTTTAATGTATTTTGAAAATAAATATCTTGGCCAACAGACTCAATAGACTTGACCAAACTCATCTGTTATAATTATAAACTTCATCATAGGCTGCAAGAAGGTCTAGAGAGCAGAACTTTCCCATACAGAATAGTACTCTGCTCAAGCAGGGGGTTTAAAACTAGACCATTCAATTGCTTTAAGCTTATTCAAAACCAAGTTTGAGTTCATTCTAGTGTCCTCTAGAAGTTCACCAAGAACCTATCAATTTGTAAATGTGTTTGCAGATTTATCAAGTAAAAAGAGTTCATACTAGATTAAAGTAGTTGTAATACAATGACTGGTGTCTTTGGAAGAAGAGAGAATTTACAAGGATATATAAGAAACAGTATGTGCCAAAATACAAGGACATTAGTAGTAGTATGCTAAGGATAACTGAAAACCACAAGAAGCTGGAACAGAGGCATCGAACAGATTCCTCCTGATTTGCAAGAAGGAACCAACCCTGCCAATATAATGACTTCAGATTTCTGACCTTCAGAACAAGGAGGATAAATTTACCTTTTTTAAGCTACCAAATTTGTATTCATTTATTTCATGGGTAATTTTATAATTTTGGTATTGAAGCACTTTTCTTCAGTCTGAATATTGAGGAAAATACTCACCAAACAAGGTTTTTAGTTCACAATTCAAACGAAATTGGAAATGTCACCTCATTCTCATGGACTGCCCCTTGAGTGTACTTTTCTTTAATTATTATTATGGGGTACTTTCATAGAAATGAATTTCATGTTTGGACTACATACACTTTACTGCCTAGGCACCAGAGAGATAATGAAGTTCCTTAAAGGGCAAAAAGCACCTGTCCATAAGAAGGGCTCAATTCACCTTAAGTGATATCCAACAGTCTAGGAAAAAACATATACCTTTGTTGAAATCTCTTGCTGGAACACAAGTTAAAATGTGAAAACTGCCGATTTTAAGAGTATGTAAGACGGCCACCAGACTGGGAGAAGATGTTTACCAAATATACATCCAATAAGGGCAAAACATCCAGAACATCCCCCCAAAACTTAATAACCCAATCAATAAATGGGCAGAAGGGCTAAAGAGAGACTTCTCAGAAAAAGAATGTCTCTGGCCATAAAATGCAGATCAAAACAACATTGACCCTCCCCCACGGTGTAACCCCTGCTTTCACTGTATTTGATATTGGTATAATTTGTGGAGGGAAAGGGAAAAAAAAAATCATTTAAACAGGGATACAGGTGGACCCATTGCAACAATGAGATGTACAATGAGATTTACAACTTTGGTGGGAGGGGATTGGAGGGCCAGGTGGGGGGGTGGGGGTGGGGAGGGGGGATGGGAAGGGACGGAAAGGGGAAACAAAGGAGGAGGCAACAATGCTTGATAAGAAATGTACTCATTATCTTGCCCATGTAATTGTAACCCTTCTGTACAGCATTTTCACAATTAAAAAAAAAATTGAGATTCCATCTCACCCTAGTTAAGATTAAACAACAAATGTTGGTGGGATATGGGGAAAAGTAACCTTATTACACTGTTGGTGGAAATGTAAACTAATATGACCACTCTGGAAGGCAGTTTGAAGATCCCTCAATAAACTAAACATAAAACTACCCTATGATCCAGCCATAACACTCTTGGGCATCTGCCCAGAGACAAGTCAGGATATGGTAAAGACACCTGCACGTCCATGTTCACTGCTGCACTATTCATAATGGTCAAATTATGGAAACAGCCCAACTACCCTACAACAGATAAGTGGATCAAGAAAATGTAGTACATACACACAACGGAATTTTACTCATCCATTAGAAAGAATATATCATGTGCAGGAAAATGGATGAACCTAGAACAAATCATGTTTTAAGTAAGACAGGGTACATGTTTTCTTTCATATGGAAGCTAGATCAAAAATACAAGGCATGATAATACATACAGGCTCAATGCATTAACAAACTGACAAAAGAAAGGAATCCAAAGGTGTAACTTCTAAAGTGAATCCAAAGGTGTTAAAACTAAAGTACTATTTATCAAAACAAATAGTAAGTGGAAACATGTTTTATATAGGGGCAAAGGAATGGAGAGAGGGAAGATAAGCAAATGTAGTCAAATGTATTCAATGTATGCTAGGTAAAAACTTGTAGGTAGGGACCAGAGGAGGAAAAATAGGAAAAATGGGAAAGAACAAAAGGAGGGATGACATTGTCCAAGAAACATTGAACTTATAACCTGACATGGAATTTTAGCCCTTTGTACAACTACTTAAGTTAAAAATACTGCAAAAAAGGGAAATAAAGTTTATATTCCAGAAATCCTCTTTTCAAATTTGTAACCCAAAAATGACAATTTATCTCACATTTACTGATAAACTGTGGATTACCATTAACCTTCTAGTAATTCTGAGTTTCTCAAAATAAATAGGCATGACAAATAGGCATGACAAAATGGAACTTCTAGGGTTTTTTCAGAGTCATTTTCAGAATGAGTATCATCAAACTACTTACCTTTCTATTTTACTGCCCACATTGTAAGAATTAAAAAAGCGCAAGGTGCTGGTAGCTTATGTCTATAAAACTCAGGAGGCTGAGATCTGAGGTTCACAGTTCAAAGCCAGCCCAAGCAGGAAAGTTTGTGAGACTCTTGTCTCAAATAAACCACAAGAAAACCGGAAGTGACGCTATGGCTCAAAGTATTAGAGCTCTGGCCTTGAGCAAAAAAAACCTCAGGGACAACTCCCAAGCCCTGAGTCCAAGCCCCACAACCAGCACCAAAAACAAAAAACAAAGAAAAAAAAATTATTGAACTGATAACACAAAAATTGCTGACCATGAAAAGTCTTCTTTTTCAGCTTTTTTTCTTTTAGCTTACATTAGATATGGAGGAAAAAGGGGAAGGAATTTCAATGTTAAATTTCCATACATGAGAAAGTCTTCTTTAAAGATTATTTTTGTAAGGGCTGGAAATGAGCTCAGTTGTAGAACACTTGTGAAAGTGTGAATGTGAAAGACCAAGTTCCATTCCCAACACCTCAAAAGAAAAAAGGATTTTTCTAGAAAGACCTCTCTGTATAATAAACAATATTAATTTACCTTGTTTTCGTACATCTTCTACAGCAGCCACAAGCTCCTCCTTGAGAAACTGACTCTCTTTCGCAATTTTATCGCCCTTCTCCAAGAAATTCTCAGTTGCTTGTTCAACAGATGCAGCCAAAACATGAGCCTTTTTAGAACGACCTCTTTTTTTGTTAGAGGGGCCCTTAGTATTGGTGTTTACCAGGGTTGTAACCTAAATATTTCATTTGAAAAAGAAAAAACAAGTAAATTAAACTGTTGTCATTTAACTGAAACTAAGATGAAGCAAATATTGTCGTGCAGTGGTAAAACACTTGCCCAGCATAACTAAAGACTAGGTTCAATTCCTACATTGAAAGCCAGGCGCTGGTGGCTCATGCCTGTAATCCTAGCTACTCATGAGGCGGAGATCTGAGGATCACAGTTCAAAGCCAACACAGGCTGGAAGGTCGGTGAGACTCTATCTCCAATCAGCCACCAGAAAACTGGAAGTGGTGCTGTGGCTCAAGCAGTAAAGTACTCTCCTTGAGCTAAAGAGCTCAGGGACAGCGCCCAAACCCAGAGTTCAAGCCCTATGACTGACCAAAAAAAAAAAAAAAACTGAAATGATAGTAAATCTAAATTTTGAAATGATTTAGCTTTCTCAATATGTAAGAAATATAACACATATTTTAATTCCTCAAGTATCATACGGTTTTTAATTTGATTTTTATAAAGAAAAATAATTATTAGAGACTAGCTAGATGTCTCTATTATATCACCAAGGAGTTCTAGAAGGTTAACAATAAATCTAGCTATACTTGAGTTACATTCTTGTCAATTATGTTTATCAAAACAGTCTTTACTATGTATCCCAGGTTAAGCTCAAAAATCAATCCTCATTGCCTAACTGAGTGCTGGAATTACAGGGGTATACTACCACTGTTGACTAGAATTATTAATCTTTGCAAAATGGTTTAAGATAACTTGTTTCTTGAAGATCATCCAAATTAACACAAATATTAACCATTAGTAAAGACCCTGAATAAAGAAAAAAATGCTCACAGTGATGCTTTAAATTAACTAGTTAAGTTAAATTAACCATCGTTAATAAATACCAGATGATCTGTAGGTTGAAGATGATTCAAGATTTCTTATAATGTGAGTCTGCCAAGCAAAAGACCTAAGGGCTATAGTATATGAAGTCCAAATAAAGCAAATATTCTAATCTTACCATACATATACCTTCATACAGATAAATATAGGCTAAAATTAATTTTTAAAGTAGTAAATGCCATCATATCACATTTCTTCTCCATTAGCATACGCATGTGTGTATACATCGAGATATATACACACATTACACATATATTGCACACATTTATAAACAGTAAAAATATATAGCTATGTGTTAACAACTAATAAATGCAATTGTATTATGTGTGTATATGTGTAACAAAATATAAAACCTACAACAGTAGAAGTGAATTACCTGCCAATTAATCCTCTACAATGAAATACACACTAAAGCAAGTGAAAAATCTTAATCAAGGTTTCATGTCCATTTCTTAGAGGCTTCTACCTTCTAAGAAAAGGTAAGGTTATCTTCAAAGTCCATCTATTTGGAAAGTCAAACTAAAATCAGTAATTTTTATTACTGGTAATAAAATTGAATAAAATAGCAAGAGCTGTGTTATAAAGAATTAAATAAATTCAATTACTAATGAAATCAACTCACTTAAGAAGTATCAACAAAAGTTCAACCACTCAAATTAAGTAACTGTTCTGTCACCCAAGCATATTGTCACAGAACTATGTTAAAACAACTGTGTAATTGTGTTTCTAGATTCTTACCTGTGTAACAAGGGGCTCCAACAGTCTTTCTACTGCCAAAGTCCTGATCTCTAGACTTTTGGGGTCCCATTTGAAATTTATGTTGCCTGTGTGGACAGTAGTCATTTCTAACAGAGAAACAAAAAGCCATGTCAGACAAATATCAAATAAAAACATGAATATAAACAATAAATCTGACATAAGAACTTCTGTATCAAGAAAACTACAGGGGCTGGAAAGGTGGCTCAGTGGTAGAGCGCTTGCCTTGCATGCCTGAGGCCCTGGGTTCGATTCCTCAGCACCACATAAGCAAAAATTTTAAAAGGCCAGAAGTGGCACTGTGGCTCAAGTGGTAGAGCACTAACCTTGAGCTGAAGAGCTGAGAGATAGCGCCTAGGCCCTGAGTTCAGGCCCCACGACCGGACCCAAAAAAAAAAAAGAGGGACTGGGAAGGTGGCTCAGTGGTAGAGTGCTTGCCTTGCATGCATGAGACCCTGGGTTCGATTCTTCAGCACCACATAAACAGAAAAAAAAAAAAAAAAAGCCGGAAGTGGCGCTGTGGCTCAAGTGGTAGAGTGCTAGCCTTGAGCTGAAGAGCTGAGGGACAGTGCCCAGGCCAGAGTTCAAGCCCCACGACCGGACCCAAAAAAAAGAAAAAAGAAAACTACGTTCACCACAAAATAAAAATAATTCTAACTACCCTGCATCTGAGGACCAAGTAACTCTTACAACCTCTTCTGTTTAACTATTTCACACTCACAAACACTTGTACTACAAGACAGCACTCACACAGAACTTTCCCTTTTAAACTTTACTATTAGTATCAAGATGTTTCCAGTTGTAGTTTTACATTTTAGGGGCACATGAGGACCTAAAGTGAATGAAAACTGTTCTGAATGAAAGCTGTTCTAAAAGAAATTTCTTCAGAAACTAATACAAAAATCTTAATTTTTCTTTCTTATATAAAAAACTATGTCTCACTTATTATGGATTCCTAGATAACATTTTGTTTTACTCTAATAAAATGTGATAATTAGGTCTGATGCCCTTTACAATGACTGAGAGTATCACTCAAAGACAGAAGAAATTTTAAGCCATAATTTATCAGAACTCTTATCAGGTTCAAGATTAACTTCTCATTGGAGGCTTTCCAAAGCAGAAGAAATAATAAAAATAAGAAGAAGGAATGATTGTATAATGAAATAGAATAAGAAAATGACCATTCTGCAATCCCCATCATAATAACTGATTCTGGCAAGTATTATCAATGAGGCTGGGAATATAGCTTAGTGATAGAGTGCTTGCCTAGCATGAATGACACCATGGGTTGGATTCCTCAGTACCACATAAACAGAAAAAGCCAGAAGTTGTGCTGTGGCTCAAATGGTAGAATGCTAGCCTTGAGCAAAAGCTTAGGGAACAGTGCCCAGTTCCTGAGTTAAAGCCTCAGGACTGGCAAGAAAAAAAAAAAAAAAAAAGAATTATCAATGCATGTTTAAACCATTGGGCAAAAGAGAACAAAATATTTGAAAGGTATAAAGTATTCCTGACAAGTTACTTCCTAACAAAGGGTAAGTTTACTATATTAAGATTTAATAGGGCTGGGAATGTGGCTTAGTGGGAGAGTTCTTGCCTAGCATGCATGAAACCCTGGGTTCAATTCCTCAGTGCCACATAAACAGAAAAGGCTGGAAATTATGCTGTGGCTCAAGTGGTAGAATAGCCTTAAGCAAAAGAAACTCAGGGACAGTGCCCAGGCCCCGAGTTCAAGCGAACCCAGGACTGGCCAAAAAAAAAAAAAAGATTTAATGGCTACCTTCTTAGATATGAGAAATATGAAATATGAAATGTCCTATAGTACCTATATTCTTAGTGGGGGAAAAAAGTTCAACATGAGTCTAATCAAGTCTTTGCATAGGAATATGAGATCTGTTTTATGCTATGCATCCTTTTGGCAGTCTCATGGAGCCTATATACCAGCATTGTTCAACAGACTCATGGAGCCTATATACCAGCATTGTTCAACAGAAATAGAATGTGAGCCATATATCATTTAAAATTTTCCAGCAGCAACAATAAAAAAGTAAAAAGAACCTAGTGAAATTAATTTTAGTAACATGCTTTATTTAACATAACATATCCAAAATATTATTCTAATATATGAGTGACATTTTTCAGCTGTTCAAAACATAGTACGCATTTTATACTATGACACATTTTAGTTCAGACAAGCCACATGAAAAGTATTCAATAGCCACAGCATCTAGTAATCACCAATGGACAATACAGATACAGGCCTTTCTTAAATGATTTTACTTTTTTTTCCCCCAGTACTAGGGGCCAGGCAGGTACTCTTACAGCTGAGTCACACCTCCAGCCAGAATGTCATTTAAATATACAAATACAAGTGAAGAGAAAAACATACATTGGGAAAAAAAAGGAAAAACGTATATTGAAAAGTTACTTTAAAAATTTATAAAATAATCTGCAATATAGTAAAATAAATGTCCTTTTTATCTTTTTTTTTTTTGAGACCAGGTTTACATTGCCCAGGCTAGCTTCAAAACCCTGCCTCAGCCCTGAGTACAAGATTACAGGCATGTGTCACAAGTCCTGGCTATATTTACTTTTTATTAGCACATTAAAAAAAATCCTGACAAGATCTAATAACTACTTTGAAGTAATAAAGAATATAAACTTTTTCTCAAGATATCATCTTGCTATATTGCAAAATATAAAGTACTTATAGTCCTACTGATAACAAACTATAATTACAACTGAAAACTACTTTGTGGTCTACATCAGCAATAGAAGGAAATGCCAACTATCTGTTAAAGTAGTAGAAAAAAGAAAGTCAAAATTTTTCTGATCCAAATACTGACTCCAAATTAAGAAACTTTAATCTAGACTAAATCTCAAGTTTATAGGAAGTACAAAGGATACAGACACTTTAAGCAGCACTATGACTGGGGGGGAAAAAAATAGACAAATCCAGAATGTAGAGAATTCTACAAGACAATTTTTTTTTTTGGGGGGGGGGGGGGGGTCCAGTCATGGGGCCTGAACTCTGGGCCTGGGCACTGTCCCTCAGCTCTTCAGCTCAAGACTAGCACTCTACCACTTGAACAACAGCACCACTTCCGGCATTTTTCTTTTTGCTTATGTGGTGCTAAGGAATTGAACCCAGGGCCTCATGCATGCAAGGCAAGCACTCTACCACTGAGCCACCTTCCAGCCCCTCTACAAGACAATTATAAACCTTCAAAATGTCAACACAGAGGCTAAGAATACAACTCTGAGGTAGAGTGCCTACCTAATATGCATCTAGTATGTATATGTACAGCCCTGAATTCAATCCCCAGTTCCTTTAAAGTAAAAGAAAAAAGAAAGACTTAACATAAGAAAGAAACAGACAATTCTGCACTTACAGGTCCAGAAACAAAAACCTAAAGTAATACATGTATCTTCCTCTGAAATAAATTCAGGAAAACTAGTAAATCTTTAGGTAAGTTCTTTTTGGTGGTAGTGGTAGTAGTTCTTTGTGGTGGTGGTGGTGGTGGTGGTGGTGGTCGTCGTCGTTGTCATGGGGCTTTAAGTCTGGGCCTGGGCACTGTCCCTCAGCTCTTCAACTCAAGGCTAGTGCTCTACCACTTCCTGGTAAATCTTTAATACAAAATAGTGGTTAATACTATAGAATTATTCCATGTCTTAGACATAACCATGGAATTGTGGTTATGTGGGGAAATGACTACTTTTAAGAGACTCATGCTGAAATATTTAGGAGTGAAATGTGGTATATAACTTTTGTTCAATAAAAGAATGCATACATGCACCACGTAATTATGAAAATGAGCTTCATGGTATACAACAATATTCTCAGGTACATAGGCTGAGGCAAGAACATCACATAAACCCAGGAGTTTGAGGCCAACCCCGAATAGAGGGAAGGGGTCCTGAAAAATTACCTATATACTAGGCGCTGGTGGCTCATGCCTGTAATACTAGCTACTCAGGAGGCTGAGATCTGAGGATCATGGTTCAAAGCCAGCCGGGGCAGGAAAACTCTATGAGACTCATCTCCAATAAACCACTCAGAAAACCAGAAGTGGCGCTATGGTTCCAGTGGTAGAGCGCTCGCCTTGAGCTGAAAAGTAGAAGGATAATGTCCAGGCCCAGAGTTCAAGCCCCATGACCGACTAAATAAATAAATAAATAACCAGGAAATCAGAAGTAGCATTGTGACTCAAACTGGTAGAGCATTATCCTTAAGCAAAAAGAGCTCAGGGACAGTGCCCAGGCCCAGAGTTCAAGCCCCACAACCAACAAAAAACAAAAACAAAAAAAATCTCTAATTATTGAATCTAGGTGAATAACATATAATTGGATGTTCACAGAACTTTTAGCCTATTTTGGGTTCTGAAATTTCTCATTTTAAAAAAAAAAGGGAGATGTTACAGAAATGTATGAGATAAGAAAAAATTGAACAGAACTAAAAGAAAAATCTTGGGCATATCCATGAAAATATCAAGAATGATGTTTATGGCAGATGACTCAGACTCATGCCTATAATCCTAGCTACTCAGGAGGCTAAGACCTGGAGGACTGCTGTGCAAAGCCAATCTGGGTTGAAAAGTCTGAGAGACTTTATCACCATTTAGGACCCACTGAGTAATAACTGACTCAGGCAAGAATCATCAAAGAATTCTAAACCAAGTAGATGGAAGTTCACTAGAAAAACTCAGTGCATAACATAGTATCATATTCTGATAAAACTTTTTTGGGGGTAGGGTCAATCGGCGCTGTCACTGAGCTTTATTTTTTTTTTTTTTTTTGGCTCAAAGTTAGTGCTCCACCACTTGAGCCACAGACTTTTTTTTTTTTTTGGGGGGGGGGTCGCTAAATGGAGGTAAGAATTTTATGAACTTTCATACGTGGACTGGCTTCCAACCCTGAGCTTAGCCTTCTGAGTAGCTATGATTAGAGGCATGAGCCCCCAAAACCCAGCAAGAAAATACTAATCTTGCAGCCAGAATCAGGGCACATACCACCTTAACTAAGTGACTGAATTAACAATACAATCACTGCTATAGTATTCCTACCAAATCACATAACCTCAATATAGTCATGA